TTTTTTTTTTTTTTTTGGTTAGGGTCTTGATCTGTTGCCCAGGTTGGGGTGCAGTAGTGCGATCATAGCTCACTGGAACTACCGACTCCTATTCTCAAGCAATCTTTCTGTGTCAATCTCACAAGTAGCTAGGACTACAGACAGGCATATGTCACCATGCCAGTCTAATTTTTTCAGTTTTTTTTTTTTAATAGATACAGTGTTTCACTATGTTGTCCAAACTGGTCTTGAACTTCTGGCTTAAAGTGATCCTCCTGCCTCAGCTTCCCAAACTGCTAGGATTAATAGGTATCAACTATTATGTCTAGCTATGTATTCTTTACATATTGTATGTCACTGTTTGTATTCTATGTCCATATATTTAATACTGTATATATTGATATACACATATATAGTGTTTTTTATTGACAGCATAGAGATTGGCAACAGATTGCTGAGAGTAATTTGGATTATTTAAAATTCTAGACTTAACTGGCTGATTCTCAAATCCAATCCTTAAATAAGATGAGAGACTACTAGAAAGACCTTGATGTTTGCTGTAGTCACTTTTTTCTTCAGAAAAGTAGCCAGAACTATTTTGTAATGTGACTTTTTTGTTGCTTTGGTTTTGTACTCCCTAAGAGAGCCCCTAATTACCTTGTTGGCCTAAATATCCAAAATTAAACCAATGTAAAAATTTGTATTTTTGTTTAGGCAACTCAGTATAACAACCACCAAAAATCTAAAGAGGAAAAATGCATGCATGCTGATAAATATACCCAAACACCGTGGAGAAGAATTTCTGTGAGTAACTTGTGCTCTTAACCTCCTCTCCTGTCTTGCTATTTTAATGCTGTATTCCACGCTTTTTTCTCTAATCTATAATAATTTAGACTCTGTCTTGGCTGTTAACTTTTTGTTAGGTAAGTTGTTTTTTGTTTGTCTCTTAGTGTTTATGTGCTTTCTAAAGCTTCTCTTATGTGTCTTATATAAGTGAATGTGCATTTAATAGCTTTTCCATTCTGCACCCTGTAGCTCATTTGGAGTGTCTTCTCTTCTCTCATTGCATGTATTTATGAGAGAATATTTCCACATGTCCAAAAGGAAGCAGGAGTCCAGTTTGCAATCATCCCACTTTAGCAGCATAAGAGATTTTGAAAATGTATGATGTAGTATATTCTCTTTTGGGGGAGAAACTTTTGAAATATGTTTTATTATTAGAATTACTCAAATAAATGTTGAGGGTATTAGGAAGTAAAATATGTGAAGATAAATGTAGTAAAGGCTATGATTTAGGCCAAACTAGGGAATGGTTTCTTCTAAATGGTAGACAGTAACCTTGTATTCCATGCTTATTTGTTGTTTTTCAAAAATGTTATAGCTCAAAACATACTTAGTGCTAAAAATACCCTATTGTTTAATCTGAATTCAGCTCAGGATGTGCCTGAGCCAGAGAATCATCATATGGCCATTAGTCAGCGTTATCCTATTGTGTGAGGCCAGTTAACAGACATTTCTTATTAAGAAAATGCCTAATCAGCCAGCCTTCACTCTTTTTTTGCTTTGTATTTAGCAGTGGATTCCTAGTAACACAGTGAACATAATGACTAACGTAATGAATAGTCCAATTTACAAAACTTGGCAATAGGCCTTTAAGGTTTATAAGATATTATTTTGTTTCTTTTCAACTAACAAGTCATTTCTTGTGTGTGTTCTGTATAAGGTACAATGGTACAAGGTTAATTTATTCAACAAAAGTTTGATGATCCTCTCTCATCCCAGATATTAGGCTCTTGAAGTAGAAATTGAGAATTGGGAAAGGAGATACATAGACAAATAACAATTTCTCCACTTACAAGTGCTTATTAAAGGAACTAAGCCTCTAAGGTTCAAAGGATGGGGAAAGTCTAGTTGAAAGAATCCAGGAGCTTGGCGAAGAAGGTGAAGATTGTGTTTAAATCATAGAAGGAAAAAAAAATGCCAATAGAGATGATACATCATTTCTTTAATGTCAAAGACTGTGGAAACTCATCTGTTTGTAGACAAAAAAAAAAAAAAAAGATCATGCCCCTTGAGTTATAGATGGAAGTTTGGACTTTTCAGGTTTCTCTAATTTCCCCACAAGGATGTTTGTGCCTTCTGATGACTATCACTAAATAGATTGGTAATTGCATTAAGTGTGAGAAGTTCCCTTTTGCCATCCTCATGCCTGTTCTGCCTCCCTGAACCATTTTATTCTGGAAACTGGGTATTAGTTAGCCTCCTCCTCAGAGGAAAGTAACTGGTGTGAAACTCCTCATTATGGAATATATTCCTGAGTTAGTTTTCCTATGATCTTGGGGTTAAGTAAAGATCAGTATTCCATCCTCATACCCTAATGGACCCAAACTTTAGTTTTCCCTGTCATCTATGACTATAGGAATCACGTGGCTAAGTAGTTTTGTTTTATAGATAAGAAAATTCAAGGAGGGCGGCCCCTTTGGCTCAGTGAGTAGTGCACTAGCCCCATATACCAAGGGTGGCGGGTTCAAACCCAGCCCTGGCCAAACTGCAACAACAAAAAATAGCTGAGCGTTGTGGCAGGTGCCTGTAGTCCCAGCTACTTGGGAGAGAGGCTGAGGCAAGAGAATTGCCTAAGCCCAAGAGCTGGAGGTTGCTGTGAGCTGTGACGCCGTGGCACTCTACTGAGGGTGACAAAGTGAGACTCTGTCTCTTAAAAAAGAAAAATTCAGGGAAATTAATTGGAATATTAAAGATTCCATAATTAGTTAAGTGGCTGAGTTAGTACTAAAACTTAGGACTTCTAATTGCTACTTCAAGGTTCTTGCCCTGAAAAGTGCACTGAAGAATCTTGGAGGATGAAAGGTTTTGCAGATAAAAATTGGAAGAATCTCTTTGGCAAAAAAAGCAGTGCACATAAAGGTAAAGAAATGGAAGATACAAATAGGCAATAAGAAGTACATGACTTTTGCTGGAATATTGACAGATGTCTAGGGAGATAGTGAATGTTAGTGTTAAAACTCACTTGAAGGTAGAATTCAAAATTTTAACCTGGACATGTGGGTTTATGGAGTTGTCTTTAGTTAAAAATGTTATGTATTTATTTCCTTAGTTTACTAATAATTATTAAGTGTTAAATACTGAGTTTTTTTCTGATTTTTTTTTCCCCTTTGGACTTAATGGGATTCAATGGAAATACGTTATTTTGGAAACCATTTACAAAAATTACAATAATTCTCTTTTATGTTTAAAAAAGTTACACCTTACTGTAAACATTATTTTTTTATTAGGAAGGGATGATGGGATGTGGATTGCAGTATGATTCCTCTTTGGGAACATTTAATTTGTTAGGTGGTAATTTGGGAAATTAAAACACATATTATATTACAAATCCCCATGCTTAGTGTAAGTAAAAAGTTTTGATCCAGCTAAGCCTTGAGAAGGTTGAAGATTATAATCTGAATCCTGTTCTTCACCATTTCTTAAACTATTTAAGAAATTGAAATGTCCTCCTCACACTGTCTTAATCAGCTGAAGGTTGTGAATTTACTTCAGAGGTTTGTGAGGCAAATGTTAGGATTTCCTGTGAACATTTTCTAGACATGAAGGAAGAAATCTTGCTACAGTGGAGGGTGGGAGAGAATGGTGGAAGAGAATGAATTACTGCCTATAGAATTTATTGGTAGCAATTTAGGAGGTGGAAAAAATGAAAAAAAATAAGGTAGAAACTTCAGTCAGAACCTGCCAGAAGGACAGTGGTTGGCTACCAACAGTAGCAGAGGAATGGAAATTTGAATGTATTGAGCCCAATTTAAATTTTTTTCATAGATTTGTCCAAAATGATTTCAGTATCATCTAATGGCTACAAATAAGATCTTTGATGTACAAAATCAATAGGTAATAAGAGGAAGAAACAAAGTATTAGAACTGGGTAAAGGAAGGAAAGCAGGTAATCATTTACCAGATACTCAGGTGCCTGCTGCATACCAGGCACTGTCTTAATCTGAAAGTGTAAATTGGAAACCTCCATTATGCCTAAATGGTATTAGTCTCACTTTTTTCTTGCATATGAAGAAGCTGAGACTAAGAAGTTATTTGTGCAAGTCCTTATACAACTTGTGTACAGTGGTCTAATGGAGAAGCCATGTTTTCAAACATATAGGTATTAGTTGACTCTTTTGAATGGCTGCAGAAGTAAGGTGGCTGGAAGGAATAGAGAGGAGAAAAGGGTCAAAACTATGGGAAGAGAGGTCAGAGGCTTGATCTCAGTGAGAGATGATGATAAAGACTTACTTCCCTGAGAGGTATCACTGTGTGCTAGAGGTCTCCCCAGGCCATCGTAATAATCTATTGAAACAAACTTGTATTTTATGTTGTGATTGCATAAATGATCACGCGAGACACAGATTGACAGTACACACTGCAAGAGGTGAGGCTAACCATAGGTGCAGGATAGCCCTGAGCAAAATTGATGAGTTATGAGATTGATGGCTGTTATAGTAAGTATGATTTTTAATCCTCTACATTTTAAATTCCTGGGAGAAAAATATTTAAGGTTGAAAAGTTTTCAGTAAGAGTGTTAAAAAAAAAAAAAATCATCCACAACTAAATTTGATTCAGTGCAGTGTTAATAGGAAGAAATCTGTTGACATAGTAAACACAAATCTTCTCAATAGAAAGAATGATAAAATTCAATACCTTTTCCTAAAGGAATGAAAAAAAAAATTAGACTACCAAGAATACTTTATAAATGACATGGAGCCTAAAAATATATGCGTGAAAGAGAAACACTCTAAAGGGACTTTTTCTTTGACCTGTCCCTTTTTTATTGAGAAGTAACAATATATTCATTCTACAGCAAATGCAAAATAAACAATTTAAGGGAAATGTAAATTATTCAAATCACACCAACCACTGTATTTTATATATGGTCTTCCAGCCTTTTTTTGTAATGTATGTTATATGGGCGTGTGCACAGATCTGTCTCTGTTGAGGTGGAATCATGTTGTACACATTGTACTTTAAACTTTCCAGGTTAGTGGTGGTGGTGGTTGCTATTAGTATTATTTGATTTGATTTTTTGCTAAACCAAAACTGATAAGAATGCATTACTTTTAATCAACTAAGAATGAATTCCCCTACTGAATGGTCCTTTGCAAGGTTCTTGAAATACATTCCCACAGTTTTTTCTGAAAGTCTTATACAGGTTTATACTGCCACCAGTTGAGCAGAAAGTGGCTTGGTGGCCATGATGGTAGGTTTTATGGTTCAGGTGTTTGATGTTAGGTTCTAAAAGCCTATGAGAGTTCTCTTTACAAAAGAAAGAATACAGAAAAGCTCTCCTTGGCCAGGAGGACCTCCATCACACTCATTTTAGGTGGTCCTGGGAGGTTGCTACCAGCTGTTTCTGTTATGAGCATTCCTATTACTTGGTGTTTTCTTTAAAAATTCTGACTTTCTTCCTCCTGGCTTAAGACCCATTTTTAAAAATTATGTTATTTTTAAAATTATGTTATTTTCTGCATAGATCCAGCCTAACCTTTGAGTACTGATTATGCATTTTGATCATCAGAATCCTGGGAGTGTCCTTCTGCCTACAGAAATATTGGCTTCCATACTGCAGGTCCTTTGGGGGTTGGAGCTATACTGGTAAAGATCGAAATTGTTTTGGTTTAGATCTGATGTGGGTGTTACTTGTGAGATTTAGCTTAGCAAAGAAACAGTAGATAATGACCTGCTGGGTGCTACTCGTTTAGGGTGAGACAAAGATTTCTACTGTTACAAAGTTGCCTAAGACATGCTGT